CTTTTGTAACCAATATTTCAACAAGGTAGGGAGTGTCTTTAATCTGCTCGAAATTTCTATATTTTTTTAGACTAAAATACATCTTAGTTACTAAGCTTGATAAATTATAGTGGAATTCTATGGTATTGGTGTAGTAATTTATGATTTTTTTTAGTTATTCAAATATATATATAAAACCTAAAAAAAAATTTTGTTTCATATCCTCCACGTGCAAAGGTTATAAAGGCTTAGCAACCTACATCCAGCAGCAACTGAGTACAAAGGTTGTAACTAAAAAAATAATTGTTTGCTTTACTTCTTTAGTTACTGTTCTATGTTTTAAGAAAAATAAGTTTAAGAACTTATTTCAAAATAACAATAATCTATATACATATATAATGTAGAATAATTGAAATGTGGTTGTATTTCACAAAATACTAGTCTACTAAAGCATAGCCAAGATAACTTACTTTGTATAGACCAAAGATCAGTTTAATGTTATTTGATACAGTAATACGAGTGCACATGAGCCGCTTAATTGTAACTTCTGTATTGTTAGCCAGGCACGGCTGAAAGGTCAATATAATAAAAATAATAAATATATATAAATGTATGATGTTATGAGATTTAAGCTATATAGTCTAATCATTTATGTTTTTGTGTTATAATCTGTGTTCATTCTAGAATGACAGAGGCATAATTTATATTTATTTCCTAATTTTTTTATAGTGGTTCCTTAAGACTTAATAAAAAAAATTAGATATTTTGTAGATTGTAATGTTTACTGATAATCTGCCAAACATCGCTAACATTTGCTTACTAATTTAAAAGTTATAGCATGAAAACTATAACAAGGACAAAATGGTTCTGAAGTCAGTCCCAGGGACTGAGCCCATGCTGAAAGAGCTAAAGCTACTTAGGATAAACGAATGTAGTTTCATGTTTCAATTTGAAGTCATTCTAGAAAGAAAAAAAAAGGGTAATTTAGATTTATTTCGATTTTTTTTGTGGTTATGAGGTTGGTATAGGGGTAGGGTAGAGAAAATAACAAATGAAATATAATGTGTTGCTGAAAACAAACGTTTGAAATGTATTTAGGATGTTTTAGGGAATTTTAAGATTTTTGAGATGAGTAAAAGTATTTTTAATTTTAACATGAAAATTACTTTGCACTTGAACTATTCAAAACCAATACACAATATATTCATGGACAAATTTTCATTTTAGTTTATTAAAAATACTTCACTAAAAAATTTGATTTTTTTGTACGTGAAAGACTTATAATGTTAAGTGAAGGACTGCCAAATTTTAATATATACACACTATATTGAAATTTAGAAGTATTAAATCTATAAAGACTATAAACGAGTACAAAGAGGTCACGTGATCGGTCAAACTGACCTAGCCTGTGTTGAGAGTTAACACCTATTTTTTCAAAAAAGTTAAAACTTAGTAATGTTATAAGTAAATCACAGAAAATTTTATTAATACAAATTTAAAAGTGCCTGGTAATACTCATTCTCTAGAATAAAATTCTCATCCAAATACAGTTTCTTCACTAAAGAACATTTTATCAGCAATAACTTAGTGGTCTAAGAAAATGCAAAATATAAGTTTTTATGGTTGACTATAACTAATGGCTGGATAAATTATAATAATATGAAATTCTATTTTACAGTCTATCAGTGTTTTATCATTCTAAAATTTACTTATGTGAATTTTATCACAACATATCATGAAACACAAATAACTAAGATACCAAATACTATAAGTTTAACTAAACAAATATTGATAAAAGTTTATTTGCTACTTTTTTCATGATAAAAGTTTTTACATGTTTGCAAGTTCTTAAAATTGAATATCTGTTGAGAAACCACACACTGTATGAGTAAGATTAGTGTACACACTGACAAACTTTTTCCAGCTTTTACTACAACTTAAATATAACTACTGTCTCTAATGTCATAACTAGATCTACAAACATACAGATAACTATGCATTTGAACTTTTCTTTTTGACAAACCTACCCAGATGATATCTAAAGATTATTATTTTTATTTTATACATTTTTTAAAGTTTAAGATTTTTTACAAGTACACTGATAAAGAATTAATTTAAAATGTTAATAATTCTTTTAACAAAATATCTCAATAGTCATTAAATAGTAGAAATTGATTCTACAGGAACAGTAAACTAACATTAATTGTATCTAGTCCTCGAGATCCAAGGTCAGTACATGACAGAACATTTACTTCTCCATCCTGAAACTTCCTGAAATGCATATCTCTGGTCTGAAAGAGTAAAAGGAACTTTCATGTTTGAAGCAACACTGAGCAAAGAAATACATAATGAAATGTAAAATTCACGACATTTCTAAAATGTTATTTAGCTTTGAAAGGAAAACTTTCATTAAAGTTATTATTATTATAATAAAAGAAATAACAGCACAACAATATTCATAAGTTATGTTAAACAGAAAATATTCCATTTTTACTATTTTTTAACAAGTCCAGAGAATTCTAAACAGATTCAGTAATCTTATAAAGGCTCTTGGTACATTTAAGAATAACCTGAATCTATCATGTGTATCAAGGTTAAATACTATGTTACAAGCATTTCTTATGTATTCACGTCTACAAGTGAAAGAAAAAAAAATTTCAACCTATGTACAACCATATTAATGTAAATGAACTAACTGTGGTTCTGAACAGCCCATGTCAAGCAGTAGAAATATGCATACAAGTAGAATTAATTCTGTTTTTTAGTCTCAAGTCCTTCAAACTTAATCTTACTATAGAAGAAACAACAACAACAGAGAATATGTTTTTACACCAAGTAAACAACTGAAATTAATCCATAAAAACCTCACTTTTGTTAGGATGAAAACAGTTTATGTACTATTAAAAAAATTACAGATATGATGTGGTTTACTGTCACCAGTCTCCAGTACAATTCCAATCTTACCAATGATTTTGTAAAACTAAACTCCTACCTTGGCAAGAACTTCCCCATGTAAGTTGACAGTTGGGACTCCATTTTCATTAAGAAATAAAGAAACCCAGTCGCAAGTAGGTGATTTGTTGCTAAATATCATGACAGGGCGTCTTTTATTGAAGTCAGCTTTAACAAGCTCTAACAACATTCCTGCATAAAAATAAAATCTGAAATTAAAAGGTTGGAAACTTTATCTAAAAATATGGTAATGCTAATTCACAAAAGTTATAATTTTCCCATACTGAAAATGCATTTCTGATAGGTATTTACCTCCACTCGAATTTCCCACACTTCCTCCCCACTGAAAATTTGGTGCTTCCATTTTCTGTCAAAACTTGAAGTGACAGTTTGGTAGAATTGAATAGAGGGTGCAGAATGTCTAGGGTGCGACGGACCATACACAGCAAGTCAACTACATCCAAAACTCAGCCCGCCAGAAACAGAAATCCTTGCGGGGGTAGGATGAGGATCATACCGTTGGTAAGTCAACTACAATCCAAAACTCGGCTACCGGAAACCAACATTCATGTGGGGGTAGAAAATCATAACACCGCCAAGTCGACTACAATCCAAAACCCAAGCCAATGGGAACTGATATCCATGTGGGGGTAGGAAAGAGGATCATACAGGCAGAAAGTCAACTACATTCCAAAACCCAGCCATCAGATGGGGATAAGAAAGAAGACCATACCCTGTTCACCTCAAGTTCATGAGATCGGAGGGAATCTCGTACCCCCTGACCCAATAACAGGCATATGATAACAATGTGAGAAATTGATCAATTGATTCTGGAACCCGACATCTGGCACTGAAAAGATGTCTGTGAAATGTAAACCATCTCACTCAAAATCAAATTGACATGAACAACCCAAAACGCAGTAACATCCTCGGAATGATAAGAACATATAACCTCAGAGGTGATAACGTAGAATTCATAATGCAAAATGAATAACCAAACACAACTGTGTTGGCAGAATGAAATAAAACGTTTTTGTAATGAAGCAATCAGTTCCGTAACTGGGTAGAAATATAAATAATTCCACTTAAAGAGAGCACAAACTAAACATTACAACATGAGTACTGCCAAACGAGATGTGATATTTTGGTAAAATTGAATAGAGAGATTGCATCAAGAGAGATTGTCATACTGTTATTGGTAGAGGGTTGTTGCATGATGACTTGCACGCAAAACACATTGGAATCAGTCAATTCCAGATGGGTGAGAGTTTCGTGGCATGTGGGAAAAAAATTTGCATATAGAGGGCAGCACTGAACTAGAATAGTTATTTATGTGAGAGGAGGTAATGTACTGTATCGGAAACATGCTATTAATCCTACCGAGATGGGTCTTCCTATGGTCATGGATCAAAGGCCATGTCATCATGTTAGTAGACATACATTCAAAATTATATTGAATTACTATTTTATGAATGTATATCAATTCAATAAGTTTGGTATCAAATTGGAGATTATAATTCAAATTTTAGTATTATACATTAGTTAATTTCTTAATTTAAAAGTAAATATTAAAAAAAACCTAAATATCTATTTTTGTGTTACATGGCATACTGAATGTAACATTGGTTCAGGTTAGATGTTTATGATGTCCAAATAAAAAATCTATAGTTTCTTAGAAATTAGGAACTCAAATTACTGACATTGACAAGCTAGAATATAAAATAAGAACCTCCTATAATTTCTATTTGCCAAGATAATGCTAGATTTAACGAATCAAACACTCTGAGCGTCTGCAAAGTATTTAAGTAAGAAATGTTTTCTTTTCATGGTAGATTTCAAGTGGCAAGGTAAAATATTATTGAGCTTGAAATATCATATTTTTTAGATCCAAATACAGCTTAGCTACCAAGCCTGATAAATTATAGAGGAATTCTATGGTACTTATATATAAATTTATGATTTTATGTTATTTCAAAATGCATATATAAAACCTTAAAAATAATCATTTTTGTTTTACATTCCCCACCATGCAAAATTTGATTAGGCTTAGCAAATTACAGCAAGCTGCAAACAAGTAAAAAGTTCGTAACTAGAAGACACAATTGTTTTCTATACTTCTATATTTACTGTTATATGTTCTAAGAAAAGTAACTGAAATTTAAGAACTTATTTGTAAATAGTAATAACATTCCCCACCATGCAAAATTTGATTAGGCTTAGCAAATTACAGCAAGCTGCAAACAAGTACAAAGTTCGTAGCTAGAAGAGACAATTGTTTTCTATACTTCTATATCTACTGTTCTATGCTTTTAGAAAAGTAACTGAAATTTAAGAACTTATTTGTAAATAGTAATAATGTATATGCATATTTTACAAAATACTGGTCCAATAGAGCACAGCCAAAACAGTCACTTTGTAAAGGCCAGTTTTATATTATTGGATATAGTAACATGTGCCGCATCATTCAACTTCTGTAATGTTATTCAGACACTGCTAAAAGGTCAATAAAATAAAAAGGGATAAAACTTTATATAACTAAAATGTTACGATATTTAAGCTGCTTAATTTATATCTATTTCTCTTTTTTTGTATGGTGGTTACGAAGTCGGTATAATCGACCAAACCCATACAAAGATAAAGATACAATAGTGAAATTAACAGATAAAATATATTTTTTTTTCTAGGGAAAAAAAAAAGTTTGATAATTATTTGGAGGATATTAGGAGGTTATGGGGATTTTGCTTGTGAAAGTTGACACATTTCTGATGGATAAAAGTAATTTTTATTATAAAATAAAAATTACTTCCCATGTTGGATTGTAAATATTCGAAAATATAAAATGTACGAGCAAATAATTAATTAAAAAAATGTTAAAACTTAATTAAAAAATCTGCACTGTTTACTGATAATCTGCACAATTTCATGAAGATATACGTGTCCATTTTAAAAATAACTGCTTTTTGTTACTGTTGGGAATACGAGCTTGGTGGAATCCACCCACCCGTATTAGAAGGGTTAATGCTATTTACAAGACATAACAGGTTTTAAAGAATAAAAAGAAATCACTATATGTTGAATTCACACAGGAAAAGCATTTAAAAAATGTGTGTGGTGGGGTGGATTTTGACAATATTCAAAATATCCAACAAATAAAGGTTTATTACAATGAAGTTTTTGAGTTACATAACTTGTACAACACAATTGTTTAGATAACAAAATGCAAAGAGCAAAAGTGGAAAGCATTATTGAGAAATAGTCAATGTAAATTATAGGGTATGGTCTAATTAGTCAAATCAATTTTCAATTTTGTAATCTTTAAAGGATATTTTAAGTAATTAAATTGTATGTTGTAAAACATACAAAAAATACTAAAAGTTTATAAGGATTTTAAAAGCTATGGTATGACAAAAACAGTACTTTCTTTGCAGTATGATAATTAAATATAAAATAAATAACACTTTGTAAATGAAGACTAATCCAATATAAACATGGTTTAAGAAAGTATACTAAAATTTTAGCACAAAACAAAACAGAGGTTTGAGAATTGCACTATTTCACATCCATGATAATAAAATTATCATTCATTAACATAAAACTTTTTCTGTTTAAATTTCTGAAAAGCTATAATATTCATTAAAAGGCCATAATTATAAAGTAAGGGCAACTGTTCATATAATTAATTCTGCATTATTCAACTTTTGTTGAGGTTTTAGTTAGCCAGTCTATCACGCAGCATCACATATTGAAAAAAAAAGCACAAAAATCTACTTTCAGCTACAAATTCATACCTGCTTTTTGAGGAGTAGACATTCTGAGAAACTTCTGAGGGACATGTGGTAAAATCCGATGCAGCTGATTTGTAGATACGTTGACTAAAGAATTCACATCTATGATCCTATCAAACACATCTACAACATTCTGAGGTAGAGTAGCACCGACTAACACCAACTGTGCTCCTGTATAGTTCCCTGACTCTGAGTTTTTTGGATTACCTTCTTGAAACTGAAAAATACATATACAAAAACCAATTTTGAATAACTTGAGAAACATAAAAAGATTGTGTTTCCTAACACTTCAAATAATATTAGTCTGGAATTCACTTGTGCAAAGCACTGTTGTTTTAGCAAGTCAATATAGATACTACAAAAGTGCCAAATATCAAGTTGCAGCCTTTGGGATTTCAAAATCTGATTTAAGAAAATATTATTTAAATTAATTGGCATTCTTTGATAAGGTTAATTTTCAGTGTTGTATAGTTTTGTTTATCTCTACCCGATAAGCAATTTTTCGGAGTAAGATTCTTTACTATCACATACATTTAGTAAAAATTATACTTGGTTGTGTTTTATCTTAAAGTCAAATGTATCAAATTATATTTATTCATGTCTCTCTAGAATATTTTTTCCATCATGAAAAAATATAGGAATTTCATGTATTTAAATGAGAAACTGAGAATTACATGTTCATAATAATAGAAGTTTCAAACAAAAAAATAGGAATAAGAGTGAAAAAAGTACAGTTTTAGAGAATTTTGTACTAACTGGAAATTTACAGTGTACTATAAAAAAAGAAACTCATCTAGTACTTTTCAGAAATTGAATGACCCGTTTCTTTGCTTTACTAAAGTTCAATAATGTCTTCAGGGAATAATGAAACTACATCTGAAAACAAAGCCATATTACTTGAATCTATACCTATTACGTTTATCTCTCATTGTCATAATAGCTTAGACTTAGCTAAGCAAAGAACCCACAAAATGCTTGAGGAGGTCTTGTTTGACTATAGTCCATTTGTGAACAAGTATGATCTGGAATGGCTTCAAAGATGATAACAAAGAATTATGATGGAAAGTGCAACAATCAAGTTTTTCCCCAAAAAATGTTTATTGGGACCAAGATCAAGCAATGTGCTTGGCAAGGAAAACAAGTAAAGTTACTAACATGCTCTTTAAACCAATTTCATTGCTTTGTCATCTAGAAAAAAAAAACAAGTCCTTAAAGTATACTCTGGATACTATTTTAAAGGAAGCAAAGACCTAATTCATACTGTGAAAACTATACCCACTTCTTTACCTCATCTCTGATAGGTACATTATTGGAACAGAACAAGAAAGGTTAAGTGTTTTTTTCTATATTTATACTCTTCTGTCAGTACAGAATACGGCAAAACATGATTTATCACAGCTTAACTTACATATTTTTATTCAATGTCTGTAATTTGCATTCTAAGTACCACTGAAGCTGTGCTTTCCCACTAGTATCTCAGATAAGCAGTTTACAGACTGGTTGTAATGCTGCTATATAACAGTTAATTAGCTGCACTGGCATAATATTATTTGCAGAAACCTAAATTAATTTAAGTTACTATATTGTAAGTTAAAAAGGACTCAAAAAAAGTTTTCATATGGTATGGTTGAAGAGTCAAATCTTGATGGTTGTTTAACAAGTAGGTCAATTGGAACATAGTCTGATGCATTTTGCAAGTCAAACAAACTAATTATTACTCCATTCACTGTTTTTTATACTGGCAAACCTAATTCCCTTTTGATTGGCAATTAGCTTATCAGTAGTAGCAATGTCTTTAAACAGGTTGTCAAGGAAATGATTTTTAAAAATGACTTTCCTGCTAGATGAATATCCAATAGGATGCCCCTTTGAAAGTCTTACAGATCCCTGCTTTTCATGTAGAGTAATCATCATAAAACTACAAACGTGCATTTATGTGGCTTAGGTGATCACATGACTAACCATGTTTTGTTTATATAAATAAATGTTCTACAAATATGTTTGAGGAAGATCTAATACAGTAGCCAGTCAGTGTAAATACTCAAATTATAATAACAATACATGAACTAAACCAGTTAAATACTGTTTAATTTTTATAATTTGCTTAAAGATATATATACATATATCATTAAGCATGATCTTTCATAGTAATGATAATAACTATCCTATGTTGGTTCCCCACAGCTGAAGGTGAGCATTACAGAATCAACATAATAGTAAAGGAATGTATATCATGTATCAATATCTTGTTTGAAGGAAGCAAGAGTGACAGTAGTACTCACACAGATTTCAATAAAGAAACTACATACAGCACTTACAGGAATCTTCCGTAGAAACCTCTGAAGTGATTCGTTAAAGCTATCATCAAGCATTGTGTCAGCTTCATCTATGACCACATGGTCTATCAAGCCCACCTTGCAGATTTCTACAATGACAAAAAAAGCTTATTTGAAACACATAATTTAATTCACAACGAAATCAGATCTCTTCATATGGTAAGAATATATATCAATAAACATCAGACATTTCCCCAAAAACTGTACCATTATCAACACTTAATATTAAACCTAACAAATACTTAAAAAGGGTAAAATGATAAAAAGAAGGCTGTAATACAGAGCAATACCTTCAATATTCAATAATACAATAGATTTACAACTGTTAGTGTCTTAAAGAAATCAAGAGTTAACCTCTTCAACAGACAAAGAAAATACTTGAGATATCAGTGATAATGTTTCACAGCCAGATAAAAATATACAGAGCCTATATATATGTGTGTGTGAGCACTAAAAACTTAAAATTATGCAACAAAAATTTGAAATTATGCAACAAAAATTTGAATTTATGCTACAAAATTTATGATTATGCAACAATTATACAAAGTAAAAAAACTTAACTCTTTAATCGCTGGCCTGGCATTTCTGCGTATGACATTTATACAGTTTCAGAGTTGCATTAAAAACTTACAAAACTTGATTATTAACATATTTTAAAAAATAAGTAACAGAGTATAATATATAAATCAAATTTCTGTATTATTTAAGCTTTAATTTCAAAAAAACATATACAAAATAATTATTTATCTTAATTTCTGTGTATCACAGGGCATGTCTATGTTCTGAAATCTCCTCTTTTAGTTTGTATAACGATTTTTATGTTATAAAGCTTAACTAGAAAACCAGTTAAATTATAACTGTTTTTGGACACTAAAATAGAATGTATTATTATGTATTATTTATGTTTTAAAATATATATTTGAAAGGTAGATTAATTTTTCTATCAACAAAGGCTTAGAGAAAAAACAGTAAGCTTCAGTAACTACAAGTGCATGAATCCAAAGCTGTATGCATGCATATGTAAGCATGAGGAAAACTACTAATGTAATGTGTCCCTCTTCAGGTATAAAAAAGAGAAATTAATAGAAGCCAATCAATAAAATTATAAAATTAAATTAGATGTGAAAAGATAACAAGTTCAAATTCTGAAGATAATAAAATTGAAGATGTGGCAACAAATAATTCATTTAAAGAAGAAGAAAAAAAGTATTGTTGGGATAAAGAAAATAACAGATAAAATATAAACTTTTACCTTAAAAAACTTTTGATATTCATTTAGAAGGTTCTAGAGGTTAAGAAAATGAAATATGAAAGATTAAAATTACCTTGTATGAAAACTCATAGAAAAAATTTGTTATTATGAATAATTCATTAAACAACAGATTTGTAATGATTACTAAAAGATGTCAAATTTCATGAAGATACACTTAGTAAATTCAGATTTCCAGTATGTAAATCATCATGATTTTCAAGCTCATGTAAAATGACCAATCTGTGCTGGAGGGTAAAAACAACATTAAAGAGGATGTTAAGACATAATTAATGCAATTCTACCTTTAACAGCAATTTAACAATTTTAATTTTTATGAAATAGTGACAACAAACACACTTTTAGACTTTTAAAAGTCTTTTGACAGTCTTAAACTCTGTCCAGCAGGCACAACTTGCCAAGTAATAAAGTATGCCACAAGTAAAGAAAAACATTTCAAAAAAGTAAATGTAGGGATGGCTAATATTAATCCTTCAAAAACAATGCAAACATGATAGCAGGGATGGCATTTGCATCATCCCCACATAATAACACAGTGTAGTAAAATGTTAACAGACAAAAATAGGATAAATTAAATTGTGATTGAATAGTTATATATATATATATTGCTATATGTTAATTCTTGCCTGTGCTATTTTGTATGGATGATGCAAGTGCCATCCATACTGTCTTGTTTGCATTGTTTTTGAATGATTGATATTGGCCATCCCTACATTTACTTCCTTTTTTGAAAAGCTTTTCTTTAGTTGTTTGCTTATTTTTTTAATGCAGTGTTTCAACAGACATAGGAAGGTTTTATTTATAAGCAAGTTCTAAATAAAATGAGGTTCCTACTGTAATATATATTGTGTATCTATTATTGATTGGTAATTCCTATTTTATACTGTAGTTAAGCTTTTTAAAGGAACACCAAATTTCTGTGAGAAAGCTAACTTCAAGGGAGAATGACAACATTGTTTACAATTTAAAAGTTGATACTCTGTTTGAAGCTATGTCACCTCAGTGAAATTGGTTGGCACCATTGTTTTGGTTTTGAGTTAGCATGTAATAAAAAAAGAAGCAGAAGAAAGAAGGACAAGGAATTCAAACTTCTTATTATGATATTCCCAGAACTTGTGACTCAATAATTACACAGATATTGTTATAAAAGGAAGTACTGTAATGTTCTGATGACCTATTGAGATATTTAAAATACTATTTTGATGAACAATCCAAGAAATCTCTATATAGGCAGTACTACTGTCTGCCTGATAACTGAGTCAAAAATTATACACCTAGTAACATGACCCAGATTTGACTTTACTAACTATAGAAATTTATATTATGATTATGTAGTTAACCACTGATTATGCATTAATATGTGAATTATGTAAAAAATTCCATGGCCTTTTAATCTCATTAAACTCAAGGTCCTGAATATACAGTACATAAAATGTTTTATATTTGTAACCCTACTGCCCCCAGCACTATTTTTAAAATTCTGTCTGCATATGGTACTGCATTACATTCCAAATTTAATTAAACCACTTAACTATCAATACATTTATCAATGAAATTAACATTATAATGTTATAATTGAATATTTATGTTACCTAAGTTTAAGTTACTTTGTTTCAAAAGAAAACTTAAAAAAAAAATACTTAAACTGCAGTTTTCATGTCACATGATCAAAGCGACTTGAAAAATCTTGACATTAGCAGAGGTTCACTCTTAGCAAAATAAGATGGCAATGTACATGAGTATGTAGATGCTAGTTACGTGATATCCAATGTCCCACAACTGTGTTCATTCACTAGGAAAGAGAAACACATTTTCCAACCCTTAATGGTTGCCACGCACACCTTTTATTCCTTGCCTTGAAATCTACAACGACAATGCACAAGTGTACATGGTTGCTAGAAAGAACTCCATTTAAAATGTACTCTACCAACTGTTAATTTGAAATTGGCACTCTGTACATGTAACTGCCATTTGTATTGTTGTCTGCTCGATTGACTATAGCATTTACAGTGATTTCTTACCTAAATATGCTATAGTTAGAAAGACAGGTCTTACTTTTATATTTTAGTTAATTATGTATTGTGTGTGTGTGTTTTGAAAATCATATTTGAATAGTTTAATGATTTTTATAAGTTTAACTTGTTACCTGAATTGTGAAAAATTCTAAACAAGATGGTATGTATAAGCACCATCTTGTTTCAATAACGAGTCTCTGTGGAGAGTCTCCCAAAATACCTTTATAAAGCCCTGCGGCTATCAGTTGACATATGAGAATAAATGATAATAGATGAAGAACTTGAAAGGAAAATTAAAAATACACAATGAGTGAGAAAATAAAGATGTGAAACTACTTAAATAAGAAAATAACAAATATTCTAGGAAAGTTCTACAAAGAGTTGAAAGGTATGTACATATTTCCATTTGTTAGTTTTAAACATTTAGTTGCACTGTATGTTGACTAAAATGGAAAATAAAATATAAATATTTACCTTAAAAACTTTTGTTATTCATTTATGAGATTTTAGAGATTATAAAAATGAAACAAGAAAACTGTAAGATAAAAAAATAGTATTTTTATACTTCATATCAAAATCACCTTGCAAGTGAGCTACTCAGTGTCCGAGTGCAAAATAACTACATTAAATAACGAATTTTTTATTATAAGTAGTAGAAAAATTCAAAATTAAATGTTTCATTCTTCTCAAACTACATACTTTTAGGAAGATTCATGTCAAACTTTAAACAATTTCATTCACTAGTTTTATTTTTGGAAAGAAATATAATGAGATCGATGTTAACTACTAAAAAAATTAGTAGACAGTAGTCATTGGATTAACTTACTAGCTTGCACAAGATTTTGAAGCACTCCTGGAGATGTAATTAGCAAGTCCAAATCTAAAATATTTTCTGGCTTTCTCAGTTTTTGCTGCAACAAAATAAAATACTAAGAAAGTTATACACAAAAATTTAAGTGCTGCCAACACAAGTTGATGTAGAATTTAGATACTAAATATTTAACTAGAAGTCATGCTAGAACTTTGTGCAACAAAACCCTCCCTATCACGAAAGTACAAAGTCTGACAAAAAAAAAGACTAAAATTAATGCAACACCATATTGTGAAAGCAAACCCTATCTTTACTTGAAACAGCTACAATGCTATTCCACTGTTGTATTCACATATTAGAATGTTTTTAACCCTTAACATAAATTACATAACACAGAAAAACCAACAAAAAAATTATTATTATGAACCTTAGCTGCCTAATGTAACAAATAAAATTTTAATATTGACGATATCAATTTCATATGATTGTTTCAAATATGAACTGAGTTTTCATTTTAACGTACAAATGAAAAACAAAAATAATATTAAGATATTGAAATATGCGAAATGTCATTAGAATGTTACCTGGTGATTTCAACTGATTCCTTTAATGCAAACAGTTCCCTTAATTAAAATCTGAACAAAGATGACATGCCTAATTTTTCCCATAAATAAACCAAACCTTACTCAGTTGAGGGACATTTATTGATGATGGAAACTTCCCTTGAAATGTTAGTTTTAGAACTATGATCATTTAATTGACAGGTATCTGTCCTACACATAAAAACTGCATAGATCTGGTTTCTACAACATTTCAATTAAAAGATTCTTCATAGTTCTCCATGAAAACAGAAAAACCAGCACAGTAGGGCAATTAGGAGAGTAATGGGCTTCCAAACTCCACCCCAAGCCAATCAGAACCAATGCTCTCTGACTCAAACAACATTGAGATGAAACTAGACAGAATTATTAGGAATATAATAAAGAAGGATTTGAATTAGATGAAGTTTCACATACCAAAAGTTCACATTTCCAGCCACAACTAAAAATCAATAGCATTTTCATGCAATAGATGGCTGAAAAAAGTGGATTCATAGCAATCCACTTTGACTACATAACTGTCAGGTCCCCCAATGGAGATCTAATAGAACTGTGTCCTTTTGTTCTGCTTAACCCTATCACGACGGGTCTTTCTATGGTCAGGTGTCAAAGGGCATGTCAACCCATTTGTAGACTTACATTCAAAATTTATTGAACTATTTTATGAATGTATGTCAATAACTTTGGTATCAAATTGTAGATTATAATTCAAATTTTAGTAATCTTCATTAGTTAATTTCTTTATTCTAAAAGTAAATATAAAAAAAATCCTAAATATCAGTTTTTATGTTTGTTTTTGTTTTTTAAGTTAAGCACAAAGCTGCACAATGGGCTATCTGTGCTCTGCTCACCACGGGTATCGAAACCCGGTTTCTAGCGTTGTAAGTCCACTGACATACCACTGTGCCACTGGGGGGCAGTTTTTATGTGCCACATTGTATGCTGAATGCAGCTTTGGTTTGTAATGTCCAAATAGAAAGCCTATAGATTCTTATAAATTAAAAATTCGAATTACTGATATTGACAAGCTAGAATATAAAATAAGAACCTCCTATCTTTAATATTTGCTGAGATATTACTACATTTATCAAATTAAACACAGTGGCCCTGCCCACTTCTTCCATTTTTGGAAATACTTTCTTACGTACACCTACTTTGCCCAGTGACGTGTGTATAACAAATCAAAAGCTCAAAATGTCCCCTATGTAATTTTCTCGTGACTTGAAAGTGGAAAGTTTTCAAGATTATTTTTTGTCTCAAATCTCAGAAGGAAGGATAAAGTGAAAATGTTGTTTGAAAAACAATATTTTTTTTGGTTTAGTTTAGTTAGTAAGCCTGATAAATTATAGTGGAATTCTGTGATATTGGTAGGGTAATTCGTCATTCTTATTTCAAAATGCATATATAACACCTAAAAAAGGTATTTTGTTTTACATCCTCCATATGTGCAATTTGGTAAGGCTTAGTATGCAAGGTACAGCAAGGAGTACAAACTTCTTTACCATCATAACTAGTAGAGATTATTGTTTTCTATATTTCTTTATTTATTGTTTTATGTTTTGAGAAAAATAACTGAAATTTAAGAACTTATTTGTAAATAGCAATAATATATACATATACATCAATGTGGTAATCAAAGGTACAGATACAGGCATGCTATGAAAGTTACAGTTTCATGTATCTACTTTTAATCAAAGTACGGGATTATTTATCAAACAATTACCTAAAATCGTGTGGGTTCTATGTACTTTTTATGTGTTCATTTGTTTATAGTTTATTATTATAATGTTCTAAACAAATTGCTTTTTTTTTTCAGTTTATACTTGTGATAGTTGCTATGGTCTAAGAAATTTTTTTTTTCCACCGCACCTAAATACCGTTGGTAAGAACACTGTACTTTTTCTGAAAATTAAATTTATCATGAATGCTGTGTCAAAGTGTTGTTTGTGTGAAAACGAGTTTAAAAACCCCCAAAAAATAATACAATGCATGGACTGTTTTGAATACTTTCATGCAAAATATACTCATATCAAAATGGTGAAGAATTTAGTGAAACTTGGTGCAAGGAAAGCTAACTGGATTTGCCAAACATGGAAGGAGGGGTGTCAAGCTGTAAGTAATAAAGATTTTAAGGATATGACAGAGGGAATCAAAGATATAAAGACAACAATAGTGAATATGGACACAAAGTTTTCAGAAGTTGAAAATTCAGTACAAGTGTTTTCTGGACTAATTGATGATTTTAAGGTAACTTTGGACCAGATACAAACATCAAGTGTGAATTTAGAGCAAAAGGTAGGGAAAATAGAAGTAGAAAATAGCATGTTAAAGAAAAAGGTAGAGAGCTTAGAGGATATAATGCTACTCCTGGAGCAAAGAAGTAGAATTGAAATTGTAGGCATTCCAGTCACTGTGAAAGAAGACCGTGTAGAGATCGTCAGGCAAGTTGGGTTAGCATCAGACCTAAAAGTAGGACCAAGTGACATTCAAATGGCCCACCATGTGAAATCGTACAACCCCCTTATGTCCGCCGTTAATCGTAGCACACCTACTTAGCCGGCTGAAAAAATAGCAATGGTCTAAGGCTGTCAAAGACAAAGGATTATCTGCTAAGGACATCCTTTTCATTTTTCCAGACACACAAGTCTTTATATATGAGAATCTGGCTCCTTAATTAAAGAAACTATTATTTGAAACAAAACAGTTGGCCAAGAACATGGGTTTCAAGTTTGTGTGGATTCGGGAAGGCATGATAATGGTGAGGTGTGCAGAGGGGGAGAAAATACTTCAAATTAGGTCCCATGCTGACTTAAAACTTCTAGATGAAAGGCAGGCACAGGAGAGAACAGAACAACAAACAACTTAATTAAAAATTGTAATATAAAAGGTAATTATTTTTCTATGTATAGTATGTATGTATGTATGTATGTATGGAAGTCCTAAATAATTTAGAATATTTTAATATAGTTGAAACTATGAAACTAATAATATTTGCTACTTTAATCAATTTTGTAAAATATTATTAAAATATTCTACCATATTTCACATGAATATTAAAAGCTTAATGAAAAACTATGATGAATTTATTTTGTTGCTAACAGAAATAAAAATAAATTTTGATGTAATAATACTAACAGAAGCGTGGTTAGATAACTTGCCAATTCACTTATTTAATATTCCAGGATATACTGCAACTGGAACCTTATTAAATTTAAACAAAATAGTGGAATAATGATTTAAATTAAAGACAGTTTAAATTCACAAATCAAAATAGAAGAAACACAATTTACTAAATGTAACTGTTTGGTTGTACATGTAAAGGAATGGTAAGCAAAAATAATAGCACTATATTATTGTTCCCCAAATGGAATAATAAATATATTTGTCAAAGATCTTCATGAAGTAATAAGTATCTTAATTTCAAATGTATAATTATAGAATATATTAATGTAAGTATTTATGATAATGTTAAAGATGACCATGAAGTGGTTCAGAATGATTACTTAAATATGTTGGTAGAAAATAAATATGTCTTATACGTAAATACTCCTACTAGGGTCTGTGATAATCTGAAGTCGTGTATCAACCATATTATTAATAATGGTTCCATGAACAATAAGACAAAAGCTATTATATTTAAAACCAATATTATAGATCACTACTCTACATTTGTAGATATGGATTTCAAAACTTCCAATTTACGTACCTCCAATACCACTATTGTAAGAACTAAAATAATTAATTACTTGCGACAATGAAATTCGCAAGACAGAAACATGGAATAGGGTGTTAATGAAAAATGATGCAAGTATTAGCATAAATAACTTAGTGACTCTAATTAATTTACATTTGCTGCAAACCACTTAACAACTAACACAGTCGGCTCCTAACTCAAAGTATCAAAAAATACAGTTGTGGATAACCCATGCTTTACTGGTTTCAGTTAGAAGAAAAGAAAAAATAAGTAAAAAAGCCCACAAACAACCATTTAACTTGCACCTAAGAATTTATTTAAAAAAATACTCAAACAAATTAAATAGGTTATTAACTCTTTCAGCACAGGCTCCATCCCTGGGATCAACCTCGTAACTATTTTGTGCTGTTATAGTTTTCATGTTATACTTTTTAAATTAGTAAGCAAACGTTAATGAAATTTGGCAGATTATCAGTAAACATTTCAATGCTTTCATATGCAAATATCAATTTTTTTATTAAGTCTTAAGGTTGATAAAG